ACATACATATAAATATATATATATATATATATATGTATATGTATAAATACATATATGTATATACATATAAGCATGTGCAGCATGTATGCTGATCTGGCGACGGGAACGAGCCACTAGACTTTTCTTTTAACATCTGCATGCGGCATGCCAACCCACAGCCCAGTTTGTGCCCGAAAACAGTTGTCCATGATGGGTCAGTACCGCCCTGCATGGTCCACGCAGAGTTGGATTCTACGAGAATGGCACCAGACCCCGGGTCTGAGTCCTCACCGGTTGAAGATTCCGGTACGCAGTATCGCCTCTGGCCCATCTTTCACCACATTGCAAGTATGCCGGGACACTGTTGCAGCTTCCGTACCGCGGGCCCCTGCAGCACCTAGGACCTAGGCTCAGGGTTTTTCAGGTGACTTTTTTTGACGGACGAGGCCCATGAGCTCTAAAGTTACCTGAAGCCCCGAACCCTAAAGCCCCAAACCCTGAACCATCCCAAACCCCCAAACTCCAAACCCTAAAGCCCTGAACCCTAAACCATGCTAAAGGCCGAAACCCGCACAGGCAAAGGAAGCTTTCGAATGGGCCATCATCTTAGTGGCCCGAGTGCTGGTCCGTGCGATCAAGGCCCGGCGGTTCCACGGACATATATATATATATATACACATATACAGATATACATACATACATACATACATACAGACATACATACATACATACATACATACATACATACATACATATATACACATGTATGTACTGCACACATTGTAATCAGCATACACACACGTAGGCACATTTTATGTATGATAGCTTGATGTAGATACAGGGTTGGTGTTCTCACATACGTCTATAACGGTTCCTTCGCGGGTTTCGCAAGGGTTCTATCAAAGTTGCAGCAATGTTGTCGGCAGGATTCTAGCAGGGTACCCTTACATTCCGCGATAATTAAGGGTTGTACCAGGGTTCCCCAGGTTTGAAAACAGGACCCGGTATATGTACGGAGGTTGCTTTAAGGGGTTGTTAGTGTTCGAAAAGTTCACTGTCGGTTTTGAGAGTTTTTTCGACTCCTGCCTTAAAAACACAACTCACGAAACCCTAAACCCTAACCCGGTTCAGAGGACTGAGGCCAGAAACCAAATAAGCCCGCAGATCTCTTGAAGATAGTTGATCATTAATTACTATTCCTTACGGTTTAGGGTTCTTATTTACAGTTCCGACCGTGTGTGTAGTAGACAGTATCGCCTTCCAGTCGATATTCATGGTCTGAGAAGGTCCCAAAACCCAAATCTAATTGCTCAGGGATAAGATCCCTTATCGCTCCTATACTTGTAGTAGAAGCTACTCCAAAGCAGTTTTGTAATTGTTATGGCGACTACATGAAACAGTTAGTCAGTAGCTGCGTCTGTAGCCTCGAACTTCTGCGACGGGCAATCCTACGTTGAGGGTTTAGGGTCTGGGGTGTAAGGGTTTAGGTTATTTAAGTTGGTGGGGATGTTACTGCCAGCTGGCAATAGATGAAGAAGATAAAAGACTACCATTCGAGCATAAGAAGAAGTGCGAACCTCGACAGACTCGAGAAGAAGAAAACGGATGCACTAGAACAAGCCGTAGTGAATAGTCTCCAGGCGGGATCTTTAAAGTTCCGGAGCAGTGCGTATGGGGTTCTTGGTATGCTAGTACGGTCATACTCAAGCAGGGTTCCGGGCTCATTCTTGTTTTTGGCATATAGTGTATGTACTCACACACATACATGTCTGCATATGGGTCCAATTTTCTACAAACTGATAGCTAGCCGCGAACCAACATGCAAGAATCCTTGCTCCAAAAACCATACCATACTGTATGACCATACTGCTCTTGGCAGAGTTTGTTGGGGCTAGCGGGCCTCATCGGCGGTATGGGTGCGGAGATGCTTTACATCCCGACACACGTGGGCGGGGGTTCGCGTTGCACTTGATTTCTCTCTCGTCCTCGAACGCCTGAACGACACAACGCCAACTTTAGAGCGCGCCAAAATTGGGCTTGGAGCGTTTTTGCCTTGTGGCCGTGATTTTCACGTTTTGAGGCTGCAAAGTGTGGAAAGCCTAAGGAAGGTGCTTTGACCAACCACGCGAACATCTGGGCCTGTGCCGGACACCGTTCATTCCGTCCATCTCGAGCTGGAGTAGAGGTATGTTCAGGTCATACTGCAACAAGAAACCTCGGCACTTACACGAAACTACACTTGAGGGCCAGGTATACTACGACTCCTGTTTCATAAACAGAAGCAGATGGAGATCATTGCTATTTAGAAACCATTTCACAAACTTATGTACTGGCTTTATACCTGTTGGCAAGGCTTTAGGAAGTATTGCTGTTTCCAGATGCATTAAATCCCAGCAGAGCCTGACAGTTCGAATGATTGAAGGAAGGGTCGACTGTCGTCATGACCGCCATCAATGCCAACAATGTCAAGGCTGCAGGGGCTTAGTTGTGCTTGCTACGTATCACCTAAACCCTCTACCTTAACCCGCCCAACGTATTGATTTTTGTGCGCATGTGCACTTCATATAACATGTAGTATGTACAGTATGTACTACCCCATAAACAACATTCACTAGCATACTAACTGTGTGCATATTTATGTACATGTATATATATATATATATACATACATACATATGTATAGAGATACCGTTTAATTACCTTACAAAATAAACATGTACATAAGCGTAGTATGTAGATTTTACACATATGTTCTTTATACCAGCATCTTGTTGTACCGCAAACCCCGTTTCCCAACCTTAAGTCCGTCTGATTATGTTCGAGACCCTGGTCGGCTGCTGTTGCTGCTGCTGTTAGGGGTCGATTCAGAAATCTAGCCAGGCACCCTCAATTTCGTGCATTCCGGACGCCATTTTAAGTTCGTGGATCCCAATATTTGTCTTGAACTGCAACCATTTCACGGGCTTATCCCAGGTTCAGATTCCTTGTCATGAGTTTGATGCGATATCTTTATCGGCCAAGCTATTGTGCAGGGTCCTTTGTCAATTAAGCTGTCGGAACCTTGCTGTTCCTGCCATCCCGAAATGATTAGAAGATGATGATTCAGGCTTTCTTGCTTTCTTAACAGTCTAAACCATGACCTCACAGATTTAGAGTTTCACGTTTTGAGCAGGATAGATCTCTGGGTTGGGTTACCTGCTCCCTTGCTTCCGCCTTTGGCAGGGCTTGCAGAAAGCTCTTGCTGCAGCTCCGCGTGGGGAGCGCGCGACATGGCTACTGCATATCCAAGTCGGAATCCTGGCTTGCTTGATATCTCAGGGTTACCATATACATATATGAACAGGTATGTATATATGTATATACACATACATATACATACACATGTAAGTGTGTATATATGTATATGAAAGGTAGATAGACAGATCGAGGGATAGATGGATAGGTAGTTTCCAGGTAGATAGAAAGAAAGATAGATGGATAGACAGGTAAACAGATAGATAGATGGATAGGTAGTTTCCAGGTAGATAGATACATGCATAGACAGACAGACAGACGGTAGTTTCCAGGTAGATAGATACATGGATAGACAGACAGACAGACAGATAGACAGACAGACAGACAGATAGATAGATAGATAGACAGGTCGAGGGAGTGAGAGAGAAAAGCAAGACAAATGACATGCATATGCTATATCTGCATGTACATGTACATGTATGTATATGAAATTCATGACGCATTGGAAGGCCGGATCTACACTTATGCGCGACTCGACACTAAGCCCGTGTGTGTGCAGACACCACATAAGCATTTGAGCGCATACCCATGGTCAGGCTCTTTCTCTCTCTCTCTCTCTCTCTCGCTAGCTTTCGTTCTGCATGCCCTTGTCTGTATATGATATTTACATGTACATATATATATATATATATACATATGCAAGGATAGATTCGTAGAGACATGTGTAAATATACATGCACACACACACACACATATATATATATATACATACATATCTGTGTGTGTGTGAGCGTGTTTGTGTTTCTGTGTATGCGTTGTGCATATGTACTCACATATATGCTCGTGTGTATTCCTCTTCTCTATCCAATCGGTTAGGTCACTCTGCCGTGTGTCGCAGTCAGACATTGGCCGGAACTCGATTCTCGAAATCATAAAGCCCAGCGTCTGATTCAGCAAACCCTAAATCCCAATAATATGAGATACTCTAACAGCTTAAATCTGTGCTAACATTCATGACCCCCTCCGTTGGAGCGACACGACACCGTGCCTTCCGCACATGGGGTCTAAAAGGCTCGCCGCGGTTGCCTCACATGGGGACAAAAGAGAATGAGAGAGGGCTAAACCGGAAGAAGGGGGGAGAGGCAGACAAGTCGAAGCTGACAAAATGTCAGGGCTGACACAGCGGGGGATACCATCTAACCATTGGGGGTAGGATGGGGAGCTGAACATGCAGAGCGCACGGACGCATATAAACACGTTTAAATCCCGGCCACGGTATTAACTCTTTGAAATCGTGAGGTAAAAGTCCCGAACACCATTGCCCATGCCCTGCATAGCCTTAGACTGGCGATGATTTAGAGCTTTTACTGGCTCAGTTAAGAAGTGGCGGTCGAGGGTTTAGTAGTTAGGGTCCCTCTAGGGGGTTCCTTAAATGCTACCTATACGGGTTTCTCAGGGTCCCTTTTAGGGTTCCGTAAAGGGGATCTATAAAGCTTTGTTAGGGTCCCTTTAAGGGTTCCTCAAAGGGGATTTATAAGGGTCTCTCAGGGTCCCTTTGTAGGGATCCTTCAAGGGGATCTATAAAGGTTTCTATAGGGGTTCTATACGGGTACTCTGAGGGAGAAGGATACTTTACCCTTGGCACACTTGCCTTACTCTCCATATTAGAGGCCCCTAAGCCCGAAACCCTAGACCCTAATCGACATTGTAGCCCGGCCTGAGGAGATCAGTTCATCTCTCCCTTCGTTTGGGCGTTGGAGAATGGCAGTGAGACGATTTGCCACGCCATGCTGCGGGATTTGCTGATGATCCGTGCCGATCGCTCCCTGCAAATTGTCTCGCAATTGAGTGCAGATTTCTGGGTGGTTGTTGTTTTAGGGTTTAGGGATTGTTACGGAGACATGGGCGGAATCGAGCTTCCACTTGCTGCTTCGGCCGTTCCTGATTATCTCGAAATCGGATGCGATGCCCCTGTCGAGCCCATACCCCACTGTACGGACCCGTAACCCTAAACCCTGAACCCTAAACTCCTGAACCCCTAACCCGAAACCCTACATCTCCAGGAACTCCGGCTCAGGCGTTCTTCGGGCTGATCCAGGGAATGCTCGACAATCTGGGCACGGCCCGTGCAATGCAACAGGCTCAACGGCCCATGCAATAACAGGCGCGAAGCAAGAATTACGAAGAGAATGTATAGTAACTGTGATACTGTATCCAGTAGTATGTATTATTTCAACGTACATTATCATATGGCCATATATATATATATATATATATATGTGTGTGTGTGTGTCTACATATACGGCTTTAGGATGAGAGGCGTGTCACCAGCAGTGAAAATCATACTGCGAGTGCCAATAGACACGGGAACCAGTTAGCCAGAAGCAAGTGAGGGCTTAGGGTTTAGGGGCATAGGCATTGAAGCATGTACCCTTCTGTATCTGGGCTTCATCTTTGCAACCTTAAAGGTAGAGACAGGAAATCTGCAAAAGACACCAGAAGCATGAGCAGAATCTTTGCTGCTGACATTGCTGCAAACCCCATTGGGGTCTAGGACCCCTTTGTCACCGTAAACCCCAAGCCCATAATGCCCTAACTCAAGGTACTACTACGGGGCCGATGAGCCGCAGAAGCAAGGAGACATTGGATGAGGATCCATAATACAGAAGGTATCCTAATTACTGAGCTGTGGCAGCAGGGCCATCGTAATTAATTGTAAGAATATATGCTTATAGTCTCCGGGATGTTTTATCAGTGATTCCCCACTAGTTTCTTTATATGATCAACGTATATTGAGTATACGGTAAGACCAAACTCTATTCCAAGTATCAGGGCCCCTGTATCATGTCGCTTTTATAGCACAGAACATGGCAGGGAGCTTCTGTGTGTGGTAGCAGGATTCGACCCATATTGTTTCAATGCAGTACGATGTGAGAGCGTGAGAGAGAGAGAGAGTGTGTGTGTGTGTGTGTGTGTGGGTGGGTGGGTGGGTGGGTGGGTGGGTGGGTGGGTGGGTGGGTGGGTGGGTGGGTGGGTGGGTGGGTGGTTGCGTGGTTGCGGGCGCACTGTCTGTGTGTGTGTGTGTGTGTGTATGTGTGTGTGTGTGTGTGCGTCCGTGTGTGAATCAAAGCCCTGTCCCAAAATTCCATCATTCAAGCAACTCGCATCTCGTTGTTTTTGCACCAACTTGTGCACCCCCCAAGTTTGTACATCTCCAAGATGTTTTTCCCAAGAGCCTGAAACGTTTCCACCAGCCCTGCGCCAAGCTCTAATGGCCACACGCTCCGGTGCAGGTTTTGGCACTTTCGGGCGGACCGAGCTTTCAGGCGTAGGTCGTCGGAGCTCAAGGTGACTAGGTGACTAGGTTTTGTGGGTCACAGGCTTCGAGTTAGGCAGCTGTGACGGCAAGGAGTTCTATCTGTCATGTGCCGCAGCAGATGGGACATAATTTTGTTTGAGTTCCTTGCTAAGGAGTTGTTTGCAAAGCATCAAGACGTGGTCAAGCGGCTGACTGATCGCACCTCTGCATTGCTGCGCACTTTGTTGGATGGTCTCGTGTGGAGATCCCAGCGTACAGAAGCCAACGGCACTTTACGGCGGGTAAACTACTTCGTGAAGCCACTTGGCGGTTTAGTACAGGTGAGAGTAGCAGTAGGCGTGTCTGAAGCTGCAATCGTCAGTTAGTATCTGGAGCGCGTGCTTCGGTTGTAAGGTTCGGGTTCACGAGTTGATGGTTTGGAGTTCGTTTTGCTTGAGCCTTGGAACCGGAACTTCCACAGGTATGTGCTCGAAGATGCGAGGGGCAAGTTCTCTCCATCTCTGCTGCTGGGCTGTGGCAACGTTGTCCCACCTACGGTTTCGGTCACAGTCGCCCTTCGCAGTTCTCACTCTAGAAGCAGCTTAAGGGGAACCCGTCATCGGCACATTAAAGATACCTTAACACCTAAACCCGAAGGGCATTTGTAAAATAAAGAAGCCCGAAGCCTCATACCCTAAACCCTAAACCCTGAAACCCCAAGCCTCAAAATCCTAAGACCGCAGCCTCAATCGTGACACCCTGAAGGCGCAGGAGGCCAAAAGCGGCCCAAGCCCCAAACACGCCCATGCCCTGGAGCCGATCAGCCCTAGACGTAACAGCAGCAGCACCACCACCAGAAGTAGTAGTAGTAGTAGTAGTAGTAGTAGTAGTAGTAATTAGTAGTAGCCGTAAGACTACTACTACTAATTACTACTACTACTACTACTACTACTACTACTACTACTACTTCTACTACGACGACTACTACTACTCTAGAGGTAGATACGCTCCAAACCTCGAGGGCCAAAGCTTCCCAGCCTTCCGTGAACAGTCCCCTGCACCATAAACCCGCAAGATCCGTTTGGGGTTTAGAGTTTAGGGGCTTAAGATTTGGGGTTTGGAGTTTAGGGGCTTAAGATTTTTGGTGAAGGGCTTTAGGGTCTAGGTTTCTGGAATTCCGGAAGACCTAAACCCTAAACCCTAAACCCTAAATCAGGAAAAACATCTCCGCGTCTGGGGATCCCAGTATCGTGTCCCACCCCCTCGTCAGCGTCGTCGTCGAACTTCTCTGGGCAGGCCAGGGATCCTTTTTTGGGCTTTTGGGGTTTAGGGTTTAGGGTTTAGGGTTTAGGGTTTCGGTTCCTATGCGGTTTCTTTTAGGGTCCAAGTACCCATTCTTTAAGGACTTTGGGGCCTTTTGGGGTACCTAAAGCCATAAATAAGGACTACTTGGACCCTTAGACTTTGCGATTAGATTTGTCACGCTGTAGAAGGGTGTCGTAGGTTAGGGATCTTCTTGGTTTTCGGGTCTGGAGTTTATAGGGTACTTGGCTTGGGTTGGGAATCGGGCTAATGGAGCAGTTGGTGCAAGGTTTTTCATCTTGTAGTATTGCGGCGATGAGAACGGATCGGCAGTAGGGTTCAGTATTCAGGATTGTTCGGCCAGGTTAGGCTGGGATTGTGGCTTTAGGCTTCATGCTGAGTGTTGCAGAAGCTGAAACCCACATCACCCTCCTTGCCCCCAGCAGCCAGGAGCGCTTGAATTGAACCAGACCGGGTTTTTTATGGTTCTCCAGCAGCAGGCACCTCGAAAGCCTAACCCCCAACCTCCATAACCCGAAACCCTGAAGGGTTTTCTAGGCTTTCTCGTAGAAGTCTCATGAGAATCCGTGGCCGAAGGCGTGGTGCGCCGTCAGTTCATTGTGTCCCGTATATGGAACATCTTGAACCTGATCATCTTCGTGATGGGACAGGAGACTGGCGTCTGGAGTATGTCGCACTTTTCTGTGAGCTTCTGACAAGTTCCTTCTAGGGGCCAGATTCTAGTAACTAGCACCGTAAACCCTAAACCCTAAACCCCAAACCCTACAGCTCCCAAACCAACCACCTAAGGACATCAGCACTGGCCCCAAACCCAAAACTATGATCCTAAACCCAACCTTTCAACTTCAGCACACCAAACACCTCAAACAGCCAGCAACATGTAGGCCTGCGTAATTAAGAAAGGTTTTTGCGCGTCACCCTTTAGTTATAGCTCTATTCGGCAAACTCCCAAAACCTAGTCTAACCCTCAACCCTAAACCCCTACGTTAGCCCGACCCTAAGGCCCCTGAACCCTGCTCCGCCTAGTTGCGAGTGCTGTGAATCTCTAAGAGAACCCAGGAGATCACCCCGTCGATGATCGCCCACAACGGCCCCTCAAACGAGCTCTACAGCCTGCTGTTGCTCGAACCAAGAAACCTAAAGGTCCATGTATATAACATAAAAGCAGGAACGGGTGTGACTATCATTCCGTGGGGTTCCTTGTTCTACTCTGATCTACCCCAACTACCCGATTCCGTTTCTGTCAGGCGACCGCATTTAGGGTTCCTCTCAAGGGGTTGCTATAGAGTAGCCTAATTGCCTATGTAGATACCCTCTAGGTAGACCCTTAGGGAAGGTAGTTGTGTTCTTGTGATCCTGGGTTCCCGGCTGAGGGCAACAAGGCTTGTAGGGTGTATTGGTTTGGAGCTTTGGGATTGACGGGAGGGGGGGGGGGGCTTTTGCTTAAAAGCCCGGGAAGGGTGAAGGTTGTGGTGGTACTATTAACAGCAGGCGGTGCAACACGTGTCCTAGTAGGTACTTTGGGGAACTATATTCACTGGTTGTGTCCGTCGTTTTTGCGAACCGAGCTGGCTCAGGTTCTTCTTTCGAATGTTCAGCTACATCGTCGGAATGGGTAGGCTACTCATGCTGCAGCTCCACCGCGTTTGGATCTGGTCCCGAGACACCATGCGCCGCATCATTGCAGACATCGACACGGATGGCAACGGAGAGATCGATTACGAGGACATGTCTGAAACTTCACGCCTATGCAACCTCCCAGCCCCCAAAACTCAACCCTAAACCCTAAAACCCTAAGCCCCTTACCATGACAGCCAGAAAGGTCAGAAGTTCTTAAAGCCATCCGCCCTACACCCGAGGTTGGCCCAGCAAGTGAAGCCTCTGAGAGTCTGACGGGTGTGCAAACAGGCTTAAGGATTCGGCTTTAACGGTTTAGGGGTTTAGGGGTTTAGGGGTTTAGGGTTTAGGGGTTTAGGGTCGGATTAGGGTTTAGGGTTTGGGGCTTTAGGGTTCAACTCTACAGTTATTGACCTAATAATTTTTCCGGAGGACGGAAGGGTTCGCACTTTGTATGTGAGGATCTGTGCCAACCCGGCATTCAGCCCCTGTTGTTCTGAGTCTTTGTACCAAGGATATTGCCGAAAGTCTGGGTACCTCCTTGACGATCAGGCATCTGGCCTTGGCCCCCTGCCGGTATAGGCACGCCATCCTCGTCACAGGCGCCGTTGCTGCACACGGACCCTGGCGGCGTGATACGTCAAACGCTGCCGCATAGGGATGGGGGCTCTTGGAGCCGGAATCCTCGTGACAGTTGTACTTGCACTGCTCCTGGTGCTGGTGCTGGTGCTCCTTAAACCCTGGGGAACCGTAAACCCGAAACCCCAACCCCGACACCGTAATCCCCTAATATAGGGGCCTTACTAATTACCGATACTCTTTTTTTTTGGGGGGGGGTTCCTTTCTGATTATAACAAAGTGCCCCAAAACCCTAGTCTAATTATTAAGGCCCCTACATTAAGCCACATGAATCTTGGAGAGCTTTTAGAGGAAGCCTTCTAGCACCCCTTCGCTTAGATTTTTCTCGAAAGCCTTAGAACCTGCACACCCGAGATCCGAAACCTTAAAAGCACCTGTATAGTAGGTTATAGTACCTTTACAATAGGTTATAGTACCTTTGTAATGGGTTTATATAGTAACCCTGCAAGGAATTTCTTGAACAACCTTATACCATAGCTCTTTCTGAACCGTGCACCCTAAACCTCCAAAACGTGTATGCCCAAAAGAACCCTTGAAGCAATCCTGACACCCTTAAAGTCTCCTGACAAATCCTTCAAATGAGATGAAGGGAGGCAACGGTTTAGGGTTTAGAGTTTAGGGTCCCTAAACCCCAAACCCTGAACCCTAAACCGTTGTTACGGGCTCGTCCGCGCTCAGTATAGGAGGGAAAAACCCTTATTGCACCCTAAACCCTAGACTCAAAATCCGACTCAACACCCTAAACCCTTACTACGCCTTTTACCCTACTCCCCAAACTCAAAACCCTAAACCCTAATCTCAAGACCCTAGACCTAAATCCTAAACCCCTAAACCCTAAACCCCTAAACCCTAAACCCTAAACCCCAAACCCTTGCAAGGAGATGAAGGAGGCTTTGTCGCGCTTCAAGGACACTGTGAAAGGAGAGATCCGCTTCTTGGCGGTGGCGTTGGATTTTAGATGGAAGTTTAGGGTTTAGGGTTTAGGGTTTTGTTCAGTTTAGGTTTAGGGTTCAGAGACCTCTCAGTCCGCGCGAGAGAGAGAGAGATTAGGGTTTAGGATTTAGGGCTTCTGGTTTAGGGTTCGACGTTTCGGGTAGACTTATGGGTTCGAGATGTTCATGGGGTTCATGGCCGGGTGTGTGTTTGTTTGTTTGCTTTTGCGTTTTGTGGACGTGTTGGGTTCATGGGGTGTAGGGGCTCCGAGAAAATATGGATCTTACAGTCCTATGTTGTAGAGAAGTGGGAAGGAATGACGATATTTGCTTATTTATGTATCCTCCAGCCCGAAGCCCTCAGGCCTACACCCTAAACGGTCAACCCTGTGGTAGGCAACATCTCCAGGCCTTCAAAATCCCGAGCTAGGTGGGAGGCAACAACCCCAAACCCTAAACCTCGAACCCTAAACCCAAAACCCTGAACCTTAAACCCTAAACCCTGAATCCTAAACCCTAAACCTAAACCCCGAAAAACCCTAACCCTAAACCCCTGAATCCTAAATCCTAAACCCTGAACCCTGAACCCCTGAAGCCCTAAACCCCTGAATCCTAAACCCCGAACACTGAACCTCTGAAACCGTGAACCCTAAACCCCTGAATCCTAAATCCTAAACCCTGAGCCCTGAACCCTAAACCCTGAACCCGGAACCCCTGAAACCGTGAACCCTAAACCCCTGAAACCCTGAATCCTAAACCCTGAACCCCTAAACCTAAACCCCAAACCCTGAACCCCTGAAACCCTGAACCCTGAACCTAAATCCTAAACCCTGAACCCCTGAACCCTAACCCCTGAATCCTAAACCCTGTACCCTGAACCCTAAACTGGCCCTAAACCTTGAACCCTGATCCCTAAACCCTGAACCCGGAGCACCTGAATCCTAAATCCTAAACCCTGAACCCCTGAACCTAAACCCCAAACCCTGAACCCCTGAAACCCTGAACCCTGAACCTAAATCCTAAACCCTGAACCCTAAACCCTAAACCCTGAATCCTAAACTGGCCCTAAACCCTGAACCCGCAAGCCTAAATCCCAGGAAAGGCTCTGAAGGTGCTGCGCAACGACGAAGACCTCGAGGAGATGAACTCAGACAAGAAGGACCTGGCGAACCAGGAGACTGGTTTAGGGTTTAGGGTTTAGGGAAGGACCTGGCGAACCAGGAGACTGATCGTCTGAGGGTTTAGGGCTTCAGGGCGTTAGGGCTGCAGGGCTTTAGGGTTTAGGGCTTCAGGGTTTAGGGCTTTAGGGCCTATAAGGACCCCAAAATAAGGTACCCCCCTATTTTCGGAAACCCCTATATAGGTACGCGGGACTCAGGACCGTTTTTGGGGGGTCTCACTCCTAAGGACACTTGGAGGGTCGGGGGACTTAGCAAAGGGTTATTTTTATAGACTTATAAGTACTATAACCCCAATTAGGGTCCCTTTTAGGGTACTTATAAGTCTACTTATTACCCACTTACTAAGTCTCCCGACCCTCCAAGCAAGGTGTCACTGAGCCTGAGGGCCGCCTCTTTGGTTTCTGCACGGCGTCTGAGCATGTCTAGACATTTTAGGGTTTCGGTTTTAGGGTTTAGGGTTTAGGGCTGCCGAGTCCCTTGTGAAAAAAGGGTTTAGGGATGTAAATAAAGCACAGCCAATCTCGACGCCGTCTTCCTGCAGTGAGATTTATAACTGCAGCACAACACCCCCCCCCCCCCGAACAAGAAGCCAGCACGGGTTCGTTTCCACGCGTCAGGATTTCCCGGCACCTAGCGCTTCATATTGGTTGTTGACCATCGTCGCTATGGCGAAAGTCTATAAAGTGTCCGCTTTGCAAAACCATCTTTATGAGGTAACCCAGCTGAGTCCAGTGCGATGTCGTTCTACGGCGAGACTCCCTGCAGTAGCGAGCGAAAAAGTCAAATCCAGGTTCAGTTCGGGGTTGCGCTTGGGTTTAGGGTTTAGGGTGTAGGGTTTAGGGTTTAGGGTTTAGGGTGTTTTGTTTATTCCTCCGGTTGCTTGTCGAGTAGCACCACGACCCTGGAATTTGTTGCAGCTTCTTGAGTGCGTCGTGCTCCATGTGGAAGCTGTGTTGAGACTATTAGTAAGTGCTATATAGTACTTGCTAGCCTTGGGAATCGTAAGGTCGTAATAGTAATAGAATAATGATAGTACCCAGGGCTCCACTCTAGTTCCTTTTTGGGTCTGTGCTGGCTTTTGGTAAGGAACTATAGTATAATATCCAAAAAGGAACTACATAGGAGCCCTTGGGTAGTTATACCGTTGCTGTGCTACTGCCCTAAACACACCAAACCAACGAATATAGTTATACCGTTCTTGGGAATTGTAGTTAATTAATGTAGTAATAGTAGCAGTTTTAATAATGATAGTCGTTATGCCCTGCGGCCCTAAAGCACACCAAACACGAAGCCTCAGCACCAGAGCCTTGAGATCCCGTCACGTCACTAGGAATTCCGTGAAGGCAAAGCCCTGCCAAGACCGCCCAAACTAAAACCCTAAACCCTAAACCCTAAACCCTAAAGCGTTAGCGAGCTTTTTACTGGGTTGTTTAGCTGATGAAGCTTAAACTTAAGTTCCTCAACAAGAACCCAACTATTCTCTCCAATCGTGAGCAGTCATGATCTCTTATAGCTACTGTAGGGTAAAGTAGGGGGTCTTGGCGGACCCTGCGCCCAAAAGCCCGAATCCCTAAGGCTCCATGTGCCCATATAGTATATACTTTGGCCTTAATGTAGTCCCTATATAGGTACTTCGGGGCCAATGTCTATACTATTTGGGTACATGGAGCCTTTGGGAATGGTGAACAAACCCTAAACCCTAAACTCTAAACCCTAAACCCTAAACCCTACACCCTAAATCCTACACCTTAAACCCTACACCCTAAACCCTAAACCCTACACCCTAAACCCTACACCTGAACAGGAGAAGAACACGTACAACCGAATCAGCTTCACGGCTCTTCGGCTCTGATCTGGAGTTTAGGGTTTAGGGTTTAGGGTTTAGGGTTTAGGGATCTGGGAGCTTCCGAAAAAGTAGGGGTGCCTTATTTTGGGTTTAGGGTTTAGGGTTTAGGGTGCCTTATTTTGGGGGGTCCTCATAATAAGGATGCTACCATTTAGGGTACTATATTAGGGTCCCCCATTTTCGGAAACCCCCATCTGGGGATTAGGGTTGAGGGGAAACGTTTGTTTAGGGTAGGGCGACCTACACTTCGCAAGGTCTGAGCGATCTCAAAGGCACAAGGAAGTAATCTCGGGAGCCATATCAGACATATATATATATATATATATATGTATATGAATAATGTCCTAATGCAATGCAGACATACCTCGCAATCCCATTCTCATAGCTAAAGCCCCTGTGTTACACCTCACATTCTCGTGCGGATTTTAAGTCAGGGTGTTGCGTTTGCTGTTGCTTTGTCAAAGGTGATGCTGATGCTGGTGCTTATGATGTTCCTGGAGCCAATGCTACTTTGCGCGAACGAGCCGAACTGGCCGACGGATGACTGCGCACACGTTACTCCACTCAGCAGCTTTTCTTCATCGGCCTTTAGCAGGATCTGAAGGTTCCAGGGCTGTTTCTGTATCGGGGTTTCCTCCACTTGAGCGAGTGAGAGTTGCATGAGCCCGAACGAATCAGTAGACACTTCAGATGAAGGTTCTGGAGGTTTGGCCGCAGTTTGAGGGGCTTGAGCTGGATTTGAGTTCATCCTTCTAGGTTTGTGGTTTTATAAAAGCCGCAAAGACCCTGAACCCTAAACCCTAAACCTTAAACCTCAAAAGCCGCAAAGATGCAAGAGACCATCTCGAGATTGCACGCCAGACCCTCGGTCAGCAGGATAGAGGGTTGGGTTGAGGGTTTTAGTAGGGTCCGTTTTTGAGGGGCCACTTAATATTAAGTTAAAGGGATCTGTAGGGGTTTAGGGTTTAAGGTCTAGGGTTTAGGGTTTAGGGTAGTTTAGGGGTGAGGCTAGACTTGAGCCTAGTGGAAGAAGGGGAACCACAAAGTGCGGCCCAGCGGTTTCCCAGCAGAAGAACTAGTGATCTTCCTGATATGAATCTTGTACTCATAGTAATTAAGGGTTTGGGGTTTAGGGCTTTAGGGTTCAGGGTTCAGGGTTAAGGGTTGCTAGAGTCGGCAACCTTTAACCTTTTCGCGGTACTAAACTCCTTACAGCACCCCAGAGCTTAACCCTTAGCTCCCCTAGACTAGTGGACACACCAGTATTCGGTGCCAAACCTCTAAACCCTCATTCTACCGCAAAACCCTGAACCTGAAATCCTCAACCGCGCCTGCCTTGTGCGAACCTGCGAGTCGAAAACCTCCTCTTCCACATGTGGGCCGCCAAGGTAGATATTGGTATTCTGTTTTTGGGATGATGCCGAGCTGCACGAAGCCTGCGTCCTCCCGCAAGCGTAAAGTATATAACATGGTAAAACTTGTTGCCGTATACTGTAACATGCTACAATATGTATGGCTGAGACCATGGTTGTTTCCTCGAAGACTGCACTGGTAGCAATGACGACGGTGCGAAGGGACAACAGCTAGTTATTGGCCTGTAGCTACCTTCTGCTTTCGCATACACTGAAGCTTCATTCTTGCTGCATGTGGACAGATGAAGCGCGTGTCAAAAGATTGGAAGGTAGATGTTTGGTGCCGAGCCGTGAAGCCATGTAATACAGTGCAAGACCAAAGACTTTCTTCTTACAGGTCCCAGGTTCTCCGAGCAAGCCCTCACCCGAAGTTTTGAAGTGTTTGGCTGCTGACTCAAAAGGTTCGTGATATTCTATACGTGATGTTTAATAGTGTCGCAAGGTTCTCATTGCTTTGCATGATGCGTAGACTTTCGGTGTTCGGCACTAGATTGCAGGAAAGGGGGCCGATTCGCCCGTGGTGCCACCAAGGATCGCCATGGTCGTTCACTGGCTTCTGCTGCGTCTTTCTTACAAAGCTTTTTGTTGTGAAGCTTCCTTAAGCCGGAGCACTAAAGACTAAAACTAGTGCCAATACCGTACCCACCATGCGAGAAACCCCATAGCTTGACCACAGATACAGTACCTAGGTTCTCTAGTAGTGGCCTTTTGCCCCTTTTCTTTTTTTGAGCTTCCTTCTTCAAACCCGAATAGTAGGCAAAAGGATATCCGAGTGTAGCCTTAGTGTTCAGGGGAACCTAGAGACTGAACAGAAGCCTGGGCTGAGCCCTGAGCTCCCCAAAATCCTAAAGCCCAGCGCTCCCCCCAAAAAAACATAAACTGAGCCGTGAGCTTTTACAGGGTTTAGGATTTAGGAGCTCGGGCTTAACGTTTAGGGTCTTTGGGTCTCAGGTTTAGGATTTAGGATTTGAGGTTGAAGGTCTAGGGTTCGCCAGCGTAGTTGGCGCCCAAGCTTTTCCCTTTATTCTACCTGCTTTTAAGGGGGCTAGCTCCTAGCCGTTTTAATGGGTTTCGCCGCGTGCCCTTTTCTCTTCTGGGAAAGGGTTAACAGACATCTACACTGGCGCACTTAGGTGCAGCCTCTAAAGTCTAGGGTTTAGGGTTTGGTGTTCGGGGGTCCTGAACTCCACCTCTCCCAGTTCTAGAAGGTTAACGTTTCCGACGGCTTGGAGTTTCCGGACATAGTGTCTGCGAGTTTCAGGGTTTACTATAGGGTTGAGGGGTCTTAGGGTGTTGGGCGAGGGTTCAGGACGTAGTTTGGGCTTGGGTCTCATTGCTGAAGGCTGTGAGATCCGCGTTCGGAACTCCCTAAAACGGCTTACGAGTTTAGGCAGTTTGGGTTTTCGGCTTGAAATATCACAAGAACCTAAACATGTCCAGCTCACTGCTCAAAGTAGCCGAGACCTACAACACACTCTAATTACACCCAACAGGAAGCCTAAGGCCCCAAGAAACCCTCAAAACCCGTTTAGTACCCAGGATCGACATGACGATCTTTTCCACGCAGCTTTCGGCATTCTTGCTGGTTGTAGGCCACGTGCTGGGCGAGGTGAAGCAGCGACTTGGCTTGAGAGCTTAGGGCTTAGAGGCGCTTGTGGGTTAAGGGCCTGTCCAACAGCGAAGCTCGGCTTCGGACGGAGACTGTTGGGAAGTTTTTGGGGCGGGGAGTCCCAGGTTTTGATTCAGTTCTCACAAAACCACAGGACCCATACTAAGAAAGATGCGTTTCTCAATCACATTCCTAGAATAGAGACTGAGATAATGCAAAAGGGTGAACTTAGGGCTCAGCCAAGAGGCCCACGATGGTGCTGATTTCAGCTTTGTCTCTGGGCTGTTGTGTGCTTGAAGCAAACTGCTGTGTGTGAAAGCCCTAATGGAGCCACAACCACCGGGCCAGAAGGACTTGGAACCCTAAGCTCTGAATCGGACATGAGAGTTACATGTATTGGCCGACCGAGGTTCTTGATCGCCTTGACGTTCTTGCTGCTTCTCTTCGGAAGTAGCATCAGCATCCTCTGCGATCGGCAGCCTGGACAAATAGTCGAAGCTGCGCATGGAAGGCCTCCACTCTCTGACTGATCTGAACATATATTACCAAAACTTTAAAGGTTTCCTCTGTTCCGAAATGCCAGACGCCTCCAACTTCGAGCATTTGCTCGCCCGAACCTGAAATCACCGGCGCGGAGGGCGCATTTTTTCCTGAGCTCGTACCTGTGAAGCCCCAACTTTATGTCCGACGAAGACAGGCAGTTATGATGATTACCATTACTAGTACTACTACTAGTACTTTACTACTACTACTACTACTACTACTACTACTACTACTACTACTACTACTGTCATTGGCGTGCCAAGTGGGTGACAACAGCAAACAACCACCACCACCACCGCCACCCCACCACCACCGCCAGCGCCACCACCACCACCAACAACAGCAGCAGTAACAACAGCAGCAACAACAACATCAGCAACACCAACAACAACATCGATAACAATTACAATAACACCAACATCCACAGCATCATCATCATCATCATCATCATCATCATCAACAACAACAACAAAGGCACCACCACCACCAACAACAACAACAACAGCAAACGCAAACGCAACGGGAACTGCAACAACAACAACAACAATAGCAGCAGCAACAACAACAGCAGCATTGACAACAATAGCAGCACCACAAATAAGAACAATTTCAACACGAGCAACAAGATCAACACGAACAACAACTGCCACAACAACAACAACAACATCAGCAACAGCAAAAGCAACAGCAACATCAACATCAACAACAGTTTTATTGGACGCTGGGCGGGCGGGCTCTGCTCATAGCGGGCACGGCAACAGTAAGAACAACAACAACAACAACAACAACAACAACCACAATAACAACAACAACAACAACAACAACAACAACAACAGCAACACCAACACCAACACCAACAACAACAACAACAACAACAACAACAACAACAACACCAACAACACCAACAACACCAACAACACCA